AAACACATCATCACAGATGTCAGTAATCAAACTTTTATCAAATATATATAAAAAAATTCCCCTCTCACCCTCCATGGGTGGTCTCTTTCATCCTCTGAGCTCGGGTCCTCTACCAGAGGCCTGGGAGCTTGAGGGTTCTGCGTAGCATCTTGGCTGTGCCTAGAACTGCACATTTCTGATGTTGTTCCTGGGATCTGTTTGAGCCACTGCTCCAGTTTGGGGGTGGCTGCCCCGAGGGCCCCGATGACCACAGGCACCACTGTGGTCTTCACCTTCCAGACCTTCTCCAGTTCCTCTCTGAGGCCCTGGTATTTCTCCAGTTTCTCATGCTCCTTTTTCCTGATGTTGTGGTCACTTGGTATTGCTACATCCACCACAACGGCTTTCCTCTGTTCTTTATCCACCACCACAATGTCCGGTTGCTTTCCCATTACCATTTTGTCTGTCTGGATCTGGAAGTCCCACAGGATCTTAGCTCAGTCATTCTCCATTTGTGGAGTAACATTTGTTACTTTTGAAACTTCCAAATTGTTTCCAGAAAATTTCTGAGATTAATCTAAAAAATTCTGAGTTTTTTCTAGAAAATATTAAACTTTTCCTAAAGAAAAAAAAAGAGATTTAGAGAATTGAATCCTCTTTTCTTTTTTCTATCTACAATGGCCTGTTGTAGTTCATGCTTTCATAGCTGTTAGTTTCACTTCAAGTTTGTGTGTGTGCATAAAATCCATTGTGTCTCTGTGCTGCTCTAGGATAAAGTGCTCCCCTTAACAGGATTAATTATCATTAGAAAATGAATGAATACATACATACACAGCATTTCCTGAATTGAATCATTTCTGCTTAGTCTGCATGTGGGGTAGTGGTGGGTAATTGTTAGTTTTTGTTTGTTTTAATTGATCTGTAGAGCACTTTGAGCTGTTTTTAGCATGAAGGACGCTTTATAGATAAAATTGATTGATTAATGGCAAAATACTTTCTGCTTACTCTCTACTTGCTCCTCACCATTGGTTGTAAAGATTGTCAGAACTTTCCTTTTCCCTGTGTGGTTGTTAAAAATATTCTCAGAAGAGGATGAGGAAAATGCATAGTTAATGAAAATAAAACGCTTTATAATTGATAATTCTCTCTGGGCACCTTCTGGTGCTCCCTGGCAGGAACAACTGTTCTAGTTGCAATTCCTTGTCAGGGCAAAACACTCATTTGTGAGGGGGTGTGCATATGTGTGTGTGTGTGTATCGTGTGGGTTATAAATGAGTCATGAAGAACGTGGTGCATGCTATTCAGTAGGGCGATGTAGTACATGCTGCTCAAACTCTTTGTCAAGCTGGAATTGTTTAATAGCATTTATAGCAATTCAATATTTTGCCATTATAAATTACTTTGACTATGCTGTTGCTTTTAAGGAAGCTTATGTAACCTAACAGTTCTTAGAGTGACAATAAATCCAGAGTACGATTCTGGAGCACTTCACTGTACCCTGCGTTAATACCACTGAAGTCCTCCATGCCTTAAAACGCCTTAAAACCTCAATCAAAGAGTTTTTACATGAGACCAAAACAAGGAAGGAATAATTGTGAAATGGAAAAAATAATATTTTTCCTCAGCCTCCACAGATAATCGGGTTAAAGTTAATGGGAATGGTGATTGTTAGAGTCTGGGGCAGAATTCAAATTCCAGCTGTAACAACATTAAGTATACAACCAGAGCTGAAACAGACTAGTTTAGTTTAAGCTATATTCATGTATTCATGTGGCACAAAGTCTAGAAATAGATCCAACAGAATATGTGACAATATATAAAAATCACTGAAGTGGATGCTCTGACTAAGCTTAAGTTAATCTACAAATAAAACTGGGAGAAGCTGGTACAGATCCAACCCAAAAGACTTGGATTAGTACGTCCAGTGTAAGGCTGTTCTCCACAGTGTTAACTCATAGCTGCTAAATGCAAATGCCCACCACACTTTTCGGATTTTTATAAGCAAAAACACAATAAAAAATAAATAAATCTAAACAGTAATTTTCCTACAGTTTACAATTATGTGCCGCCTGTGCTGGTCAAACAAATAAAATGGCAATAAAGGTTGTGGTTCCTATGTGACAAAATGTGAAAAACATCTGCAAAGAACTGCATTTACTACAAGATACACCATAATAAAACCATGTATCTCTAGACCACACTTGGTGCAAATCAGTTTATTGACAAACACAAACTATATACATAGAATAAATGGTAACACTTTATTTGAAGGGGGGTGAATAAGACTGTCATGACACTGTCATAAACATGACATAACTCCTGTCATGAACATGAATAAACCTTCATGAATATTTATGACTGTTGTCATAAAGTGTCATTCGGTAAATTATGACACTTTTAATACAAAGTTGACATTATTCAAAATGTCTTTGTTATGACAACTTTACATTAACCAAGAAATCATTACTGATATAAATTTGTTATAAAAGTATTACTGATTGCACTTTAAAAATTAGGTAACTTTATGTTATTAAAGGTAAAGTTTAAACAGTAATGATTTCCTGGTTAATGTCAAGTTGTCATAACAAAGACATTTTGAATAATGTCAACTTTGTATTAAAAGTGTCATAATTTACCGAATGACGCTTTATGACAACAGTCATAAATATTCATGAAGGCTTATTCATGTTCATGACAGGAGTTATGTCATGTTTATGACAGTGTCATGACAGTCTTATTCAACCCCCTTCAAATAAAGTGTTAGCGAATAAATTAATATTCTGGTGTGTTATCAGGCTCTTTTTGTGGTGTTTAGTCATGGTACCAACTTACACAGGTGTTTAATTTTTATGGTTAAACAAAGAGAGCGTCATGAAACCTGCTGACTTAGACTATTTTTGCTGATACAGTCATGTGTCAACAAAATACATAACAGAGAGACAAGTAAGGTAAGGTCATTTTATTTATATAGCACATTTTCAGCAACAAGGCAATTCAAAGTGCTTTACATGAATTAAAAGGAAATACAAACAACATAACAAACCAAAGGAAAGAAAAAGAAGAAGAAAAGCAAAATGACTAATCTAAATCCTTTTCTGGTGTAAAGTGAGTAGCTACAGTTTCTAAAAAGTAGTGATGTAAAAGTAATTAAGTAGTGACTCTTCCTGTTAAGTATTTCTAGATACTAAGTACGTAATTATTCTAATTCTAATTATGATTCCATTTCTGGGCTGCATAATATTGATCTAAATAGTGCAAACCCCACAATTTCTAATATTACTAAAAAACTAAAATAATCCTTTTCTGGGTATTTTTTCACAGTATGGTAAAGATTGTTGTATATATTGTTGCTGACATGTTTTTTTTCTGTTTGTGATTTTTTTGAGAAATTGGTTTCTAACTCTAGTTTTCAGTCAGGCACAACAACATCAATCTACCTCACTGTATGTGGATGGTAGAAATGTGTAAGGTGCTTTATTCTGGTTGGTTTATTGACTTATTCCAGCAAGTCAAGCTGAAACAGGAAGCAGTTTTTTTTAATTAAAGCAAACAAACTTACAGATGGACTCTGACTACTGACTTTATTCTTGTGCTTTTCTTCAGACACTCTGATGAAATCACAGAGGCTCTTTTGTTCTCCCTTCAAAATCCACAATTGGGAATAAATTAAAAATGTTTCCAGTCTCAGCGGACAAACGCTCCCAACACTTGTTTGTCAGACACTACAAGAGACACTACAATATGTGCTCTATTTGGGACAGAGTTATCTAATTTAGTTCTTAGTTGAATTAGAGAGCATCATGGTTTTTAATAGTTTTGTGACTGATGTTACTCTCTGTTGTGATTTATGCAGGTATACTTGTTACTAAAAGATGAAACAGAATGAGTTTGAATATCGAAGGACCCTCCTGTTATGTTGCAGGTCAAATTGACCCACGAACATTATTGCTGTACCTCAGAAACGAACATAAGAGGAGGTTTAATTAGGGGCATAGCTCTGTTCCGTTGGGTTGAAGGGATTTGATGCCCTCTGTTGGTTAACCTGCCAAATTACAGTCTAAATCAAAACTTTACAGATGATTTGTGAGATTTAGAAAGGAAACGAGAGCAGTCCTATGAAGACTAATTTTAAAGACATACTTGAGGTTAAATGTAAACATAATATTAACAACACAATGAACACAACCTAATTTTTAACTGGGAATGAGTCTTTTGCAGGTCAAAGGGACAAATTGCAATAATTCATTGCATGAAACAGGAACAATCCTGGAATCTAATCCCATGATTTGGACTATAATAGAGTTATTGGAAGTAGTTGGAAAAAATATATTTTGGCTAAAAGATGTCTGCTGCATAAAGTGAGATGTGTTTTGATATTGTAGCTTAAATGTATTTCATATGATATATTGTTTGACTTGGAAATACAACACGAATAATGGACAGAGTAAAATATTTATAGTGATGTTTAGATATGAAAAGGTTTCTTTCAATTTCCAGTAAAATTTCAATAATTCCCACATTTCACTTACATTTGTACTTTTTCAACCCTATTTGCCACTCTGTGTCAACATTCATTTTCAAAACCAAACTGCATTAAGTCATTTATTCATTAAATATGTGTAATATTCCCCTTATGTTCCTGTTTTAATCTTCATGAATTTTTCTGACAGCCTTCTTTTTTCTTTCTGAATTGGAACAAGGTCACAGTCTTACACAGTGATGCCGTAGATCAGATTAAATTTGATTCTCGGCCTGTCCAAAATAAATAAATTGATGCAAGCAAAGTGGTGGTGGTGCATTTCCTCTGATCATTAGAGTCTAATGGTGCTGCAGCGCATTGTGGGCGCAGGCGAGTGTGGCTTAATCACTTGTAAAACTTGATTGAGTGTGTGTTAATAAACATTAGGCTGTCTCTTTTTCCCTGCTGATTAGTGGTTCATGTGCTTGCAGGCTGAAGACGCAGTCCTGAAGATTGATGGAGGGCCATGCTATTCAAACAGCAGGCACTGCTGAGACAGAAGCTCTTCGTTCTGGGCAGCCTCGTGATCGGAAGTGTCCTCTATCTTGTGGCCAGGGTTGGGACTTTGGATAGGTGAGTTATCACTGTGACATCAGAAACACACATCACAGACTCATGGGCATCTTGTAATGTCTTAAATCTACCGTAGCTGAAAATACTTCCTCTGATACCCAGTTTACAGCAACATTTCCCCAAGGCAGGAGCAGAAAGAACATGAAGGTCTAGTTGTTAAGAATGATTTTCTCTAACACCTTCAAATATTGGCAGCCGACCAACCGGCCTTCAGCTGAAGCATTTTCTACATAAGTTCTGTGTAAACAGGTTTTGTGTAAAAGACAGGTTAGTTAACATGTATTGTTGGAAAACCAAGTCAAGCCTTAGAAAGTTCTTCCTCACTGTAGCTCCAAAATCAGACTTTAAACTACTTCTGTTCGTTTATATTTAACTGAATGTCTTTGCACCAAAATACATGAAAGACCTGCTATCAACATTCCAGACCTGTCAGGTCTTGTGGTTCTGGTCTGAACCAAACATGAAGAAGCAGCATTTAGTTTTCACTCAACAAATGTCTGGAAAAGTGCAAAAATGCAGTAAGACCGAGTTATTTTAAATCAAAGCTTTAAGCCTCAGCTAACTGCTGGTTATTCAACAGCGCAGAGCCGGGCTTCCATTTCTGACATCCTCACCTCCAAAGATACAAAATGCCACCTTTATCACACGTACCATTGTCACTAAAGGAAGCAACAAAATAACATCCAACAGAGAAAGAGACAGCAGGAGAGACAGGAGGAGCAACCATGGTGGCGCTAATGCTAAGCTAGCACAAATTTAACTAAGTACTTACCATGCCAAAAGAAAAACAAGTGTAACACAAAAGGTTCACAAAGTGTAAGGTGTAGCAACAGAAAACATGTTTTAATAAAGACTACTTATATGTTAGAATTACTCAGTCAAGCAGGAAATAGATTAAATCAAGAAAGTCTCAACCACCAGCAAATCTTTGAAGTGCAACAGCAACAACAGGAAGTGCAGCAATATGTCTCCATTCACAGAGCGACGAGAGTCAAAATTTCATGCTGAAAATGCCCAATAACTAGCTTCAACATATAACTTAAATAGATTAACTCATGTCTTTATTTCGCTGACAAATACTCGATGGAATACATTATTCTCTCTCTGGTGTCATTTAAGAGTTGTTTCTGTAACACATGACGGATTGTCAGCACATATGAAAACCAAAGGCCCCTGGCTTAAGTCACTCTGTCATTTAATCAATTGAACGCTGAGTACAGCATGCAGTATTGTATATTATGTTACCAGATTGTGAAGCATTCTTTCCAACATCATTGGCATCAGGCCAGACCTCAGTGGGTGATGCACTGCCTGAAGCCAGAGTTAAAATAATGAAATTGCATAATATATCTTAAGCTTATTTGAGAATGGTGTTGAATGAGAAAAATAGTTTTGTTGAATGTACAGCATATATTTTTGTTTTTCAGGTTACAACCCATTTGCCCCATTGAGAGCAGATTTCATCCGTCTGAGCCGGAGCAAATCCCTCTTCGTACGCTGCAGTTTAAACGCGGGCTGCTCCACGAACTACGCAAAGGCAATGCCACCAAAGAGCAAATCCGCCTGCACAACCTGGTCCAGCAGCTGCCTCGGGCCATCATCATCGGCGTTCGCAAGGGGGGCACCCGCGCCCTGCTGGAAATGCTCAACCTGCACCCAGCCGTGGTCAAGGCTTCGCAGGAGATTCACTTCTTTGACAATGACAAAAACTATGCCCGCGGCATTGACTGGTACAGGGGTAAAATGCCCTTCTCCCTCCCTCACCAGATCACCATTGAGAAGAGCCCTGCCTACTTCATCACAGAGGAGGTTCCCGAGCGCATCTTCAAGATGAACTCTTCCATTAAGCTGCTGATTATCGTCCGAGAGCCCACCACCAGAGCTGTGTCCGACTACACCCAAGTGCTTGAGGGCAAGGAGCGCAAGAACAAGACTTACCACAAGTTTGAAAATCTAGCCATTGACGCCAACACGTGCGAAGTGAACACCAAATACAAAGCCGTCCGCACCAGCATCTACACAAAACACCTGGAGCGCTGGCTCAAGTATTTCCCTGTGGAGCAGTTCCACATAGTGGACGGGGATCGGCTCATTACGGACCCGCTGCCAGAGCTGCAGCTGGTCGAGCGCTTCCTGAACCTCCCCTCCAGGATTAGTCAGTACAACCTGTACTTTAATGCCACCAGGGGATTTTACTGTCTGCGATTCAACATTGTCTTCAACAAGTGCCTGGCCGGCAGCAAGGGCCGCATCCATCCTGAGGTGGACCCGTCTGTAGTGACTAAGCTGCAGAAGTTCTTCCACCCTTTTAATCAGAAGTTTTACCAGATCACTGGAAGAACATTTAACTGGCCATGAAATTTGTCTTTCATACAAAAAAAAATAATAAAAAAAAGATCTGACAAGGTATGAACAGCACTTTGTTTAGTTTAATACAAGTATGATATTGTGACCAAATAATAATACTTGATGTAAGTTTGCTCTATGTGTGTAAAATGCAACACAATAGTTTGATGTTTTCACTTAGAGGTTAGGTGGGCAGAGCCAATTCTTTAAAGTCAGTTTACACGTCTGTCTGTGTTTCTCTTCCTAAAAAAGAACATTTTCATGCAGTGTGTTTACAGTTACTTGCAAAGTAAGAGTTAGAGAAGCAGAACTTCTTGAACTCTTCTAAATTTTGTCATGTCCCAACTTGTGAAATGAGTGAAATCTGAAAATGTTGGAGTGCATCTGTAATCAGAATCCTTTTTAAACCCCTAAGCAGATTAAAGTGGAACTAATCATGCATAACAACCCTAATAGAGATCTCAGAACAAACAGCACCAAGAGACCAGGCAGGGAGAGCATTGGTCAGAGGAGCAGGCCTGGTAGATCTGGAGAAACTGCAAAGATCCAGAGAACAGGTGGGAGAATCTCTCAGCGTCACAGATCTGACCTCTTTGAAAGAGATACAAGAAAAAAAGTAATTGAATGAAAGCCATCAGCAGAACAGTTAGACGCCCTGATATTAGACACTTGATTATAATTTCAGTTTATGTATATTATCCTGATTAACAATAAATTTCTCAATTCACTTTACAATAAAAACAATATTTTGCAGCAATCCTTCATAGTGAGCATGCATGTTCTAACAGTGGAGAGCAGAACCTACATTTAAAGGTTGGGACCCAACCTTGTTCTGCTAGGTTGGGTCCCACACCCAACCTAGCAGAACAAGGTTGGGTGTGAACATCCATCTGACGCAAACAATCCAGATTCCAATCCAACTGAAAACCTGTGACAAGATTTCAAAGTCATTATTCAAAGACATTCTCAGTCCAGTCTGAGGTTGAACTGGCTTCCCCCACTCTCATTAACCATTTTCATGTCTGACTGCTCTCAAATAAAGGCAAGTAGGGCCAATGAAACCTTTTTATCTGTTTTTTTTTGTTCAAAGAAAATGCATTTAGTTTGAGAGCTTTGTTCTGTAAAGCACTGACCCAGCAGAGCTGAATACACACGCACAACACAGTTTTCAGATTTTATTTGTAAATAAAAATTGAGAAGAGTGTTTGATTTTCTTTCCACTTCACGGTTATGCAGTAAAACATTGTGTTGGTCTATCACATACAATCCCAACAAAACACACTGAAGTTGGGTTGTAACATGACAAAATGTGAAAATGAGTGTGTTTGCACTGTCACTGTACCTACAAGCGATTGTTTTTAAGACCATCCTCATAGACATTTATAGTGTTAAGATAAACTTTAAATGTAAATCTTTGAATCAAGATAAGGCAGATTTAAGATGACGAAGAAAAAATAAATTTTTTGTTAATGCCTTGAACCAAACGGCATGTTCAGTTCAGGTGCCATAACTCCATGGTCAAATGGTTTAAATATCATCCACTAGTTTTCAATCTTTAATTTGATATTATCTTAGGCTAACCTGTTAGCCTGCAGCATCCTTTGGTTTTCAGCAGAGGTTAATCTCTCCTGTGCAGAGCTAGAATTAGCCTGGCTTATTCAGATTCAACTGGACAGCTTTTAGGACAACTGTTCTCAGGTGGGATATGTTGTTAAAATGAAATGTACTTTTTGTATGCTTCTTTACAACAGAGGTCTTGATAAGAATACTGTTTTAGACAGTGTAAAAATGGGTTTTACCCATTCTCAATCCATCTTGAAATAATCACACGTGTAATTAGTGCCGCTAAGTGCTATCAGATAGCCTAGAAAGCTCTAAATTCATCATAGCTTACACAACCTGATCTTGTAGTTTTAATTTAATGATGTATTGTCATGTCCCACAGGCGTTTCTTTTCCCAAATTCACCAAGTCATGCTGCAAAAGGCCACAGTAGGTAAAATAATGTTGTCCTGTCAAATTAAGTTAAATAGATTATGATCAGCAACATTTGTCTGTTTCAGTGGGAACACGCATTATGTATCATAATTGTGTTGTTAAAAAATATTAAACTAAAAGTACATGTGACATTTTTTCTGACCATTTGTGTATTGTGTCACCTTATTGTGTATTATGCAAGTGAAAGCAGATTTAGAGTTTTGCAGTTAAGTAGATGCAGTGCTATTTGGCACACTATTGGTTGGTGATTGCATAGCAGCCAACCCAGGAGCACCACTCTTTTACATTGGAGACACACAAGACTGTAGATGTTAAGTTTTGTGGTAGACAGATATGTAATCTGTCTACCACATATTAAGGTATACCTTAATATGTGCCTTCATAACCTTAATAATTCTGCCCCACAAGGAGCCAGACTCCATAAATCTATCCAGGCGTAAACAATGGCTGAAAATTATAACTAAGAAATTATGAGAGAAGTCTGTGTCAGTGGACCACATCATATACCAATTCCACCACTTCTAGTCTGACTACTCATCCAAACAGATTTTTCTATAGAAGTTGCCATCAATGCTCCACAAAAGGCCATTGCTGTGACTTGTGTTTTCTTCTTAATAGCTTCCTTTGTTTTGTTCTGATTTTGTGACAATGCTGTTGTCTCTGCATAACTTTAGAATTAATTTATAGATGGTTACATTGATCATAAAAGCACTGCCCTTCATAACCCGGGTCAATAGTGACACCCTTTTTTTAACCACAAAATTTATGACTATGTATGTCATAGTGGTGATGGCACTCCTTCCATGTGAAAAACACATAGCAAACTAAAACACTACATTATTTTTAATTCTTTACCTTTAAAACTACTACATTCTACAGCTGAACACACTTAGCTTGTTCGGTAACACTTTATTTGAAGGGGGGTGAATAAGACTGTCATGACACTGTCATAAACATGACATAACTCCTGTCATGAACATGAATAAGCCTTCATGAATATTTATGACTGTTGTCATAAAGCGTCATTCGGTAAATTATGACACTTTTAATACAAAGTTGACATTATTCAAAATGTCTTTGTTATGACAACTTGACATTAACCAAAAAATCATTACTGATATAAATTTGTTATAAAAGTATTACTGATTGCACTTTAAAAATTAGGTAACTTTATGTTATTAAAGGTAAAGTTTAAACAGATTTCCTGGTTAATGTCAAGTTGTCATAACAAAGACATTTTGAATAATGTCAACTTTGTATTAAAAATGTCATAATTTACTTTATGACAACAGTCATAAATATTCATGAAGGCTTTTTCATGTTCATGACAGGAGTTTATGACAGTGTCATGTCAGTCTTATTCAACCCCCTTCAAATAAAGTGTTACCGCTTGTTCTGTTTTATAGTAGGTGTTTCCAATGGGAAGGTCATTTTGCAGATCATAAAAAACAAACCTGGTGGACTTTTTTACTCCAGACAAATCAATAAAATATGGTGGGATGGCAACATATTAAACACATTGCATCAACTGATTCACTTTAGAGATCAAGCAATGTTGTCATAAGACTTAATTCAACAAAGGTGCTGAGGATCCGTTGATGCCCAACTAAAGAGAAATGTTATCAAGTTAGCAGACAATACAGGAAAGTCTGGATGTGCAAACTCTAATTAGAGAAAAGTTTTTAGTTTTTCTCCAAGTCACACTTTGAGTGGTTTAACGAGAGTGATTGCTCATAACACATCAATCAAAAGTGTCATCTGAAACATCTGAATTAAACATTGAGACTAAATGAAACGCTGTTGCTGGCTTGCAGTGAGTGGGAAACAGTGACTATCTGAAAGGAAAGGAAATCATATTACAGGAAAATAAAATATCTGATTCCACCTTCCTAATCAGGTTAAATTTTTACAAACATTTTCAAAAATGGGCCCAGTCTCTGTAGAATGCATTAAAAATCATTTGCTGCAGTACAAAAGTATTAATCACAGGGGGTGAATGGGAAGAATTCATGAGCCACTTCAATCAATACGGCATACAAAGTTAAGCTTATTACTGGTAAACTTTATTTCCTTCTTTCTGTTCAAGAAGAGAAGCCGTAATAAAATATGGAGTAAAAGATAGTTATCTCCTTCAAAGTAATCGGAGAAATCAGCAGATTGTAGGCTAAACTAGAACATTTCTGAAGAAATTTAACCGGGGCCTGCCAAAGTGTGCCCGTCGGTTGGAACCCAGCATTCTGATGCTAAAAATTAACATCAATGCTAAAGAAAGCTGCAATGTACTCAACAGCATGTGGAAATAATTCTTACAATTTGATTGAATTTTTTTTTTTTTTGTTTGAAACATTTTTTTTTTAAATCCTCAGTCACCCAGGACATGACAAAACTAAAAAAAAGGCTTAAAAATAAAGCAACTTGACAAATTATAATTTAAATAGGCCATAACTTGTATTGGGAGCCATTTCAATAAATCAATGTTTATGATGAATTTTATTATGAGGAGTTATTCATTAAAGCTTTTGTATTTAGAACCTTACATTTTTGTAAAGGTGTAGCAAAGATTAGATCAGCCAGACTGAACAAAACTCGTATGTAAGCAACATTTGAATTTTAGTTTTACTTCTCTGCAGGCTCCTTACTGGGAATAAAACATGTTTGATGTGCTTACTAGACATTTTTGGTACTGCAGCTTAAATGTGGTTTAAAAACATTTTAAACCACAATTTACTTTACATTTCAATGGAACCTCGCCGACCCCCCCAAAATTGCTCTTAAGAAATTTTCCTGTTTATGGTCCACTCCAATAATGAGATGGGATTTACGCCCATGGTACCGCGATTCATATCTGTACCTCACTCACAGTAATTTCAGCGATAGGAGAGAGATGGTGTGCGCTGAGCTCTGAAATTTTTCATTAAAGTATGAAAATGAATGGCTGAGAGCCTGAGTTTACCCTGTCACATGATTTTGCTCTGAAGCACCTTGACAGAAAACCGTCAGCCCTAGAGAAATTTCGAAAACATTTTAAGGGAGCAAGGATTTGGTGTGATGTCATGACCAACTTTCATACCAATAGATCAATATTTGTAGGCATGAGGGCAATTTCAAAATCATTTTGGGGTCAAAAATCTACTCCTTTTCTCACTCTAATGGAGCGGTGTCAGTTACACTCTGCGTTTCGGCAGTTGGAAAGTTTGCTTGTTTTTCACTTTTTACGTCGCCATTTTTACTTGAAACCCCAATAAAAATAATAGCCCTCATGCCCGGCATGTCACGTGACAGGAGCAGTGAGTCACTGCTCTTCCCTATGCAATGCTATGGCAGGCCCCAATGATAAGAAACAGGAGACTTGGCTCAGTGTTAATTTCTATATAGCTCATTACTAGATATCTACTCATTAGTGGTACTATCCTCCACTGACTTTAAGTGGAGGATAGTACCCTGAGAATCAGGGTACTATCTGATCAGATCTCAAAAGAAAGAGCTTCATAAATCCTACAGAAAATCTGTGGGTATGATGGAGGAGCCAAACGTCTGGATGATTTAAAGAGGTCAACGCTTCGTCTCACTCTGGGTTCAAACCATGTGACACGTTTTAGAAGAAAACTCAACCCTGTCCTGCTGGTGAAAAGGGATTTGAAGATTGTAATAGTTGTACAATCACAATTCTGTTTAAAACAATTATTTTTCAATTTTCTTTTTTATCTTGATGAATAGATGCACTGAAGCTAAAAGTTAGATTTTTCCACAGTTAGATTTTACAACTGAACATAAAATGTATTTTATTTTACAAACTTATTAGCAAATGTTAGCAACATTTAGTCTATGACCTTGAAAAAATTGTAGCTCTTAAAATTTCACCTACATATGTGATAGTTAAGGTTGCAAGAGATAGTGAACGTCGGACCACAATGGTGAAAATGATTGAAGCAACTCAAAGATGTTTAACCTTTTCTTTTCTTAAACCTGTGCAATAAAAATGCTTGGTGGGTTGTACGTCGTGGTCTCTGCCTCACTGACAAACAGAGGATGGCTGAGTAGCCAAAATTGTGCTCAACTAACTCATTGCTTATATATTTTTACTCAAGTAGGTAAAAAGTATAACGTTACTTACTGATGTAAGAGTAAGAAACTATTGGGTAGAAATGTTACTCAAAACATCTGATTTAATTTATTAATAAGGAAATACTTTTTTGAAGAATAAAATTAAAAAATATATAAAAATAAGAAAAAAAATCTAGCAAGATTCAGAAATTAATATAAATTGTAAGAGTTTTTTTTTCTCTCTTTTCTTTTTCAAAAACTTATTCAAATAATTGTGACAGAGTAATAGTTACCTCTGTTGATAACTTAAAACAACTACTAACTTACTATAGCTCTGTATCATGTGTTTGATTTTGAATTTGTATATTTTTTATGAAACATTCTTAAGTATTACTTCTGTAAGGGAACCCAAAAATGATATTCGGGTCATTTGAACTCATGGTCTGTCGCTGAGACGGCCCCCACCTCTAAGTCGCCTGTCAGCGGGTGACCTCGCCTCGCCTCTCCGCCTCGTCCAGAAGTTGCTCCTCCTACCAAGCAGCGCCGTGTTGATGTCGCCCATCCTCTTTGCCGTTTGATCAAATTAATTCAAACTTTTTCCCCCCAAAAAGCTGATTGTGACATGGCTTACACCACAGCAGGTGGGACCAAGAAGAAGGTCTGCTACTACTACGACGGTATGTGACGAATTACTGCTGCATCTGGCAGGCTAACATTAGCCATGAAGCTAATAGCTGCTGCTGCAGGTGATTGTAGCGACAGCTAACTAGCAACACACAAGTAGCCTGATTAACGATGACTCAATGGCGTCCACGGAGCTCAGTCACCCAGCGTTCTACATTTCAACTAACTTAAAGCTTAATTACGAAAATGGCTACCAACTTATTTCAAACATGCTGGAATTAAGTGTTAGATAATAAATACGTGTATACTAATAATTATTTAAAGCAATATAATCTGATAAAACGAAGACAGCTAATTGAATACAGAAATTTTCCTAATTCAGTTACATGAGCTGTGTTTGCCCTGGGGATTTTATCTCCAGACTGTTTAGTCGTTGCTGTTTTCAAATGAGTGCAATAAAATTGACGAGGAACTCTGCACGGTGATACTTTAATGAAGTTGGTGAAGAACGAGTAAAAGAAAATGTATTACACACTTGCTGCACTCAGATCTGATTGCTTGTGTTGTCTTGTATCTTTGGTAAATGTTCTTGTATCTCCCATAACTATTAGTTTGTTTAAACAGAAGTGATTATGCCAATAAATGCACTTCATTTATTGGCATTTTTTTTACATCTTGAAAAGTTCTCCCGCCTCTTGAAAACATTCATGGGCAAAATCCAAAAGAAGACGTGCGTCCAGAGAGTTTGAAATTCACGTTTAGTAAATGCCTTGACAAGAAACGCATCAAAGATACATCTGCCTTCATTTATTAGCCATACAGTTGGATATTATTATACCAAGCTTTCTTTTCTCTTTGGATGGATGACAGGAGGGATGTTACTGAACTGTTTTCTCTTTTTCTGTTGCTACTAGGGTAAAACATGTCCTTTATGAAAAGTATTCACCAATCCCCTCCTCGATTTCTTATATCTTGCATTTCAGCCACAAACTTCCATATATATTCTTGGGTTTTCACATCATAAATTTGAGGAAAAACTGTCTTGTTTATGCCAAGAACACCAAAATCTGAAGTGTAGTGTAGGGTGCATATGTATTCAGAAAAACCACCATTCGCCTGGCAGTTTGTTGACATTTAAATGCACTAGGAGAGCAGTGACTGATCAGCTCCACCTTTCCTAATTTGTGGCTGTTTGGTGAAATTTTTAGTGCATTCCGATCTATGTAATAATTAATTAAAATTAACTTATTTAAGTCCCGGTCTTAAAAAATACATAGGTAAACTAAATGAGTGGGCTTACAATAAGAACAAATTATTTAAACCAGTCAACAAACATTTATTGCAAACTGACATGTCATTGTGTTTGGATGAATGACAAAATGTTCAAAATACATAATAGTATATTACCAGCACACCTGCAAAAAAGTTGTATTAAAATAGACATTTGTAATTTGAGAGGATCAGAGATTTCAAAAAACAGAGTCAGAATTAAACAGATGGAAAGTTGTATTTCTGTTTATTGAACAAATCTGTGGAACAATCTGTCTAAAAGAAAGCAAAGAGAGTAGTTGAATTGTTACTTTTACAAAAATAATAAAATATGTTATCAAGGTATAATGAAGTATATTAATTCAGTAGAGTGCTGTATTATTACAAAGAAGGTTTTTATTTACTTTCTTTATATATACACACATCGCCTGTTTTGGGTTAAAATACAAGATTTCTTTTTCTTCAAGTGACTCCTTTTCATTCAAAACGTTTATGTCAACATGTGACATGTTCATTTTAAACTGCAAATGAATGAAATAAAGAAACAGAATTAAAGGAAATGAAGGTGCATGAGGGCTGTTGTGGGTTTGTCCATCACACAGACCGGTTAAGTAACATGCTTATTCTAAATCATTTTGGATCAAGTGACTATATAATGCTGTTAAATAAACTCGTTTTTGGCTCTAGCTAATTCACTTATTATTTGAACAGTGTTCTTAAATAATGACATTACCATAACATTTTTATACTCTGAACTGAACCAAGAACATGACAAAGTCAGAAGCTTAACATTGAACTGATCCCCGATTTGCCTTGCAGGTGACATAGGAAATTATTACTACGGACAAGGTCATCCCATGAAGCCGCACCGCATCCGGATGACCCACAACCTTCTTCTGAACTACGGGCTGTACAGAAAGATGGAGGTCTATGTATGTTGTCTGTGTATGACTCAACAGTTCTGTCTCTCATTGCTTAATTGAAACTAAAGTGTGTCACCTCTTTCCCTGTCTGAGTTCTCATTGAGTACGTGTGTGTGGGTGTGTGTGTTTGGCCCTCAGCGACCACACAAGGCCACTGCAGATGAGATGACCAAGTACCACAGTGACGACTACATCAAGTTCCTCAGATCCATCCGGCCGGACAACATGTCTGAGTTCAGCAAGCAGATGCAGCGATGTGAGAGCTCACTATCTCTTTGGAGCATTTTTAGAATGCAGGTGAAAGTTTGGGTACCTAATTTGTCTTGCGTATAGTTGATTAGTTTTTTATTGCTCCCTTCCAGTCAACGTTGGGGAGGACTGCCCTGTGTTTGACGGCTTGTTTGAGTTCTGCCAGCTGTCTGCAGGGGGCTCTGCTGGTGAGTCCCATTTATAATGGGCTGCATGCATAGAGACATTATGGATTTTGTGATTAAAACACATTAATTTCATCAATGTACAGGTAACTCTGCTGGTAATTTGAACCTTTTATTCAAGATGGGCATATTTCTGCTAATTCTCTGATTGACACGTGATGTTTAAAGCTTGCTCATGTTACATCTCTGTGCAAATGGAGAGACAATGTACTTGGATGGGAATTCAGTCTGAGTCATTGTCCAGTTGGAACTAAAACATTCAGTAGTTTGATCACCAGGTCACCCAGCCTGGTGAAATCTGTCCCTTGTTCTACACTTTGCTTCGTCCAGAGGATCTGGACCGTCTGCTGTTGAGAAATGATTGCTTCCTGAGGGCATGGAGTCTGTTGAAGTTTGAAATTTTATTTAATCACTAACGTTTGGCCATGACGTATTTAACTTGCCAGCTCAATCATGAAGAAAGCTATAGTAGATGGTTGTTAATTAGTCCTAATCCTAACCCCATACGGAGTAGGGCCATCATTTCCTATCCAGCAATAAAATGTCTTGTACATTCCTTTCTTGCTCTGACTTTAATTGCTCTGTATTTTGAAACGTTTCCAACATGGACTGAACAGCTTCGTTCACTTCCTCCACTGCCTTTGCCAAACTACAAACATAAGCAGACTACAATCATAAAACAGCACAGAAAATAAAATTCATCTTTCACAACTCATTCATTGAGTCGGTTGAAACTCAAATCAAACTCAATGGGAGAAATCCCAGATGAAGCATTGAAGGGAGATGATAAATGTAAAGAGGTAAATGCCAGGCTACCATTTACCTAGTTGTCTTGGAAATTATTATTGGTGTTGATACAAAATAATACATTAAAATATTAACTAATGCATGTTGTTGGTCGTGAATTATTATGAAGTATAGATGAGTCGACATGGAGTGGTGTGCTGGTGCAGCGATGATTACTTTATCAGTGCAACACTTTTCCTGCTGACTGACAAGCATCTCCTGCTTTCAGAAATTGGGATGAAAAGATTAAACTTCAGGTCTATGTTTTAGATTTTTTTCAATGGTGTTTAAAACCTTTCGGATTTTTATCTATTAAATGTGTTGACAGGAGTGGAAACAAGCATCTAAAAAAAATGAAAAGTCTTAAAATGCTTAAAGCCAAAGCGATTCAAAAGTCAATTGGTGGACTGATTGAATCAACAAGAAGGATGCTTCACTATTTCAGATACAAATAATTCTTGTTAGATTTGACCTGCATACCAGTTGACACAAGCTTCTATGTAGAAGATTTACCATAAGTTACTTCCTGGAAATAGATCAGCAAGAGACATTTGTACCTCATATCTTTCTCTTAAATGAAGCACCTTCTGTTCTGCGTAGCTGGCTCGGTGAAGTTGAACCGTCAGCAGACGGACATTGCAGTGAACTGGGCCGGAGGACTGCACCACGCCAAGAAGTCTGAAGCTTCAGGCTTCTGCTACGTCAATGACATTGTGTTGGCCATCTTGGAGCTGCTCAAGTAAGATTATCAACCAGTATTTTTAGAAAGGAAACAAACCTCCAGTTGTGCTGAACCAGACTTGGTTAAGTCTTGTTGTTTCCCCCAGGTACCACCAGAGGGTGCTCTATATTGATATTGACATCCACCATGGCGATGGAGTAGAGGAAGCTTTCTACACCACAGACAGAGTCATGACTGTGTCCTTTCATAAATATGGGGAGTACTTCCCTGGAACCGGAGACCTCAGGGTGAGGAGAGAACAGAAAACACCGGCTCCAGCTGGGGGCTGGTTAATGAAGGAAAGGATGTTTAGAGGAAGATCATGATGGAAGGATACTGTTTCTGATAATTACAAGCTGATCAGGTGTTTGTGTTGCGTTTCAGGACATTGGAGCTGGAAAAGGCAAATATTACGCTGTCAACTTCCCACTGAGGGACGGCATCGACGACGAGTCCTACGAGAAAATCTTCAAACCTGTTCGTAGAAACCTGGACATTTTTCCACCTTCCACTACTATTAGTTATGTCTTCAAAACTTACTTTGTCTGACGTTTGTCTAAGAAATTGCTAATGACCAGCACTCTGACTGGGTGAGGTAATCTCTGGGCTCTGAGTGCAGGTGGCCATTTTGAAGTGGAAAAAACTAAAGGGTTAGCAAGCGACACATTGGCTTCATTCCCATTAAAAATGTGTGCAAACTTTTTAAAAATATTTCTTGTTGGGAAAACACAATTCAACAAGTGCGGTGTTTCCATTAAATAAGGAATGCAATTAAAATCACGTGAATAAGTTTGTTCATTAAAAAAAACACACTGCGCCATCCTCCTCCTACTACCTGTTGTTGTCCGCTTCTTTCTGGTTTGCACCAGTGGCAACGTGTAGTTGTTAATCATGTGACTTGTGTGACACAAAAAGTGTTTCCATTGTAGTTTTACAAAATAAACCAATTTCTGTACAGCCCAAAAAAATCCACCATATCCCAGCGCCAAAACGTTTGAAAATTGTGTGTCTCCATCAAGCTAATTCATTTTCAGAACGTCAGTGGAAACACAACTACTGATATTGAGCACACAGTTAGCACCTTAACACAACCAATATCAAAGGCTCTTTTTTTCATTGAGTAAAACAGAACGTAATGGTGGTCAGAACAGAGTTTGTCACTTTCCTGAAATGTATCACAAATCTCTCTATAGTGTTTATTATCTAAGAGGTTATTAACTTAAATGACTGCTACTTGGTAGAACATGTGCACCAAGAGGACTGTCTTAAATTCACTTTAAAAAATGTATGTTGGCATTTAATATGTTAATCACAAGTCTTAAATTTTGTTGTGGTAGGACTATTTAACATCTTATACATTAGATATTGAGTTGTGTGCCGACATCTTCACTGCAGTCTCTGATTAGGCAGCTACCAGTAACCAGCTAGCTAGTTAGCAACATGCAATTTTCTTTTGCTACTGTTGCAATACAGATCTTAAATTTCATTCATAATGGTCTTAAAAAGTCTTACGTTTCAGCTGGTGAAACCTGCAGAAACTGTTACAATCTATAGCTGTGCTTTTCAAACATTTACATTATCCACAAAGCCTTTGTTTCTCTCTGTTAAAGTGATGTTTAAATGGAGGAAAGGCTTTCAGGTGAATTTTTGACTTTATTCTCCACAAACACTCACTCCTGTCTTCAGCAGAAATTGGAAACCAGAAGTGTAAAATTCCTCTCTGAAAGGAATTGTGCCCTGTGATCCTGCAGGTGATGGCCAAAGTGATGGAAATGTACCAGCCCAGCGCTGTGGTGCTCCAGTGTGGCGCCGACTCTCTGTCTGGAGATCGCCTCGGCTGCTTCAACCTCACCATCCGAGGTCCAGAAACACGCCACACTCTGTCCAAGCGGGTGAAGCTTCAAGGAAGAGTTTGACGTTTGTCCCCGTGTCCAACCAGGTCACGCCAAGTGTGTGGAGTACATGAAGTCGTTTAACCTGCCACTGCTGATGCTGGGTGGAGGAGGATACACGATCCGGAACGTGGCTCGATGCTGGACCTATGAGACGTCCGTCGCTCTGGATACAGACATCCCTGATGGTTCGTTGCTGGTCACTCATCAGTTGCTGTGAAAATGACCTGATGTACTTCCTGTTAGCTTTGAACAGCCAATATGGTGTCAAAGGTCTCGTGTCAGTTTTCAAATTTCATTCTTACATTGTCTGAGTGAGGTTGTGGTTGCGTGCGTGCGTGTGTGTGTGTACTGATGGCCTCTGGTAGCTATGTGCCAAATCATTCTTTCAGAGAGAAATGAAGAAGCTTTCTGTATTTTAGGGGACGTGTTCTGAGAACATTATGTGCTGGACAAATAATTGGCGCAGCTAAAGCAGTAGCAGTATTTTGTCTTTGCTAGGCACATAGAGCTATTTTATAGCATAATCACGTAACTGTGTTACCCTTCAGTTGTTTTAATGTATTATGTTAAAATATATGTCAAATATGACTGAAAATAAATTTTACTTCCTGGTTTAACGTGTTGAAATCAGGCCTGTGTCTCTTTAAGAAACTCTTGTTCTTTCTCAGACTCCACCTTCAGGAAGTCATCACAACATGGCTCCTCTATTAACCCTTTAACAATGTTTTTATCAGCGTTCCTCTGAGTAGTTCGTATGATGAGCTCAGCAGCTGTGCAGTTCCAGGTGTTACAAAGCTGGTCAGGGTATTGCCACAGTCTGATTTTTTTTTCTTCCCCTAATTCTGACAAAACTGTGAAATTCTGTAAGGTTTTCCAGGACAATCAGCACTAACACCAGAAAGCAAGCTGAAGCAAGATCAGGAGGTGATTGAGTGGATCTGTACTTCTCCCTCCGTTTCTCTTATTCTTATTGTGGCTTCCTCTTCTCTGCCTCTCCTGTTGCAGAACTTCCATACAATGACTATTTTGAGTACTTTGGACCTGACTTCAAGCTGCACATCAGCCCCTCCAACATGACAAACCAGAACACAATGGAGTACATGGACAAGATCAAGTATGTGCAGTTGCTTTCTGCACCGGCAGCCTACCTGGAGATCAGTATTAACATTCATACCGCTGTTGACCATTTAATCACAGAGCATGTTTGACAGTGTTGAACTCTGACCTTTCAGGCAGCGGCTGTTTGAGAACCTGCGGATGCTACCTCATGCCCCTGGGGTCCAGATGCAGGCCATCCCAGAGGACGCTGTCCCAGAGGACACGGTGGACGAGGACACCGAGGACCCTGACAAACGCTTGTCCAGTAAGGTGTCCTCTGCTTCAGTCACAAGCTTGGATAAACCGCCTTGTTAAAAACCAGGGATGGGCATTTAATTGTATTGTTTATTGTGACAAATGTCTTATCATGAGAAGAAGTTTAATATATCGTCGTCTCAATTAATGTAAAAAAAAAAATCTGAAAGTATTATGGGAAGTGTTATTTTTACTACTTTCCCTGCCAGTTGTTCCACAAGAGCATCAATAAATATCAGTTTATTCTCGTGCTGTCACATGGGATCATAAGATGATTTAAAGATTAAATCGCTCAAATTTTAGACCTTTGGTTCTGCTGGAGTTCTTCCTCTCTCCTGTCACTACATGTTCACAATGAAGAATTGCTCTGAAATCAATGACACAAGTGACGGGCTACTGTCGCCCCCTGCTGGTCCAGGAGGAGCGAACGCCTCAAGCCAATGACTCCATGCAGTCCTCTGGGTGTCCTTAGAAACTGTTTCAATTCTACACTGATCTTAATGTGCTCTTTGATAACCAGGACCAGGTGGAATGTATGTGACAAATGACTTGTGTTGTAATGTGCCTTGAGACGACAGATGTGTTTACTGGGTCTTTGTAGTCAGAATTTATGTAAGTGGCTTATGAAAGTATTCTTTGTGTAATTGCAGTTCGTGCCACAGATAAGAGGATAGCCTGTGATGAAGAGTTCTCCGACTCTGAGGATGAGGGGCAGGGGGGCAGGAGGAACACAGCCAATCACAAGAAGGGCACCAAAAGACCAAAAGTGGAGGAGGCAGAGGAGGAGGAGAGCGAGGAAAAGAAAGCAGGTCACTAACTGGATGTGAGAGGGTGACGAGAATGAAATGAAGTTGTGCTTCAATAGCTGATAATAAATATTTCTGTTTCTTCATGTTTTAGATGTGAAAGAAGAGGATAATACAAAAGACAGCGGCTCAGAAAAGGCTGAATCCAAAGGGTAACAACAATGACCTTTTTCAAAAGAGAAATCCTGAAGTGAAAAATCAGAAAAGCTCTAGAAGAGTCTAAACAGTGTAATTATGCAGCAGACCTTATGTGGAATCCCTGTTGAACGTTCTGTTTGCGCATTTAACTTGGGTGCATCAAATGTTTACTTTTGCTCAGTGACATGTTAATGTATTCTTCCCATTACCCTGCAGAACGGTGAAGAACGAGCAGAACAGCAGCACCTGAAGTCTCCATCTTAACCATGTTTGACCCAGCCAGTGCTGTCCTTTGTCATGGATCCATCTGTCTGCTGAGATGTTGTTTAGAGCGTTATATTTATTGTGAATCTCATGTTTTTTGATATGTAAATCTCAGCATTCACCATTTATCTTTGCCAGAAATCCTTTTACATCAAAGGATGTAAAAGGACTAAAAAATACATCTTTTTTAGTCTGTCTGTCTGAGACCAGGGCGGAATCTGAGGATGAACATGTCCTGCTTTTGATTGAAATTTTCATATTTTAAATAAAACTTTTTATACTGTTTGTGTGATGTTGAATTTTTTGTTCCAACGTTGTGTAGTGAAAGCATTAATCCACACGGGGGCGCGCTGTCCAAAGGGAAAAGTGGCACTGACATCCCAATCTTAAACGTTAGTGTATTTGTTGGCTAGCATTGCTCTTAGCAATGTGCAGGCATTTTAGATATCTGGAATGTAATTATGGCTAGTCAGATGAAACCGACTGCCTGTTAAAAAGGCATTTACCTGTTTATCAAAAGGTTTGTTTATCTTTGTGAAACATATAAACATTTTGGGTTGTTTATCTGATGAATACAGAGTAAAAGTCCCAGGGAAAATCTGGTCAGATTTTAATTAAAGAATGCTAAAGAGCTGGTCAGTAAAATTGAATGATTTTTGTGCCTAACTTGATTTGTCTCATAAATTAATTTAATAAATTACAACAAATGAAATAACGGCTGTTTATCTACATACAAGGTTTGGTTTAAAATGTAAAACTTTTTATATAGTTGTTTGAGTTGAGTTCTCTTTTTAAACCTTACCTGAGCTCCTGTGTTGTATCCCCAGGGCTTTTTAGTAAACCTTTATTTAAGTAAAGTTTATTTATAAAGCGCTTTTCACAGACATAAAATCACAAATCGCTGTACAATAGAAATCAACCTTAAAAACCCTACAAAACACAAAACCACCAGAAGAAACAACGAAATCAAGAGATAAAAGCCTGGGAAAATAAAAATGTTTTTAGATGCTTTGACTGGTTTTGCACCGTGAACCAGGCGATAAGGACGGCGGGTCGCCACGTCATAAATGAAATTGGTGCTTTAGTTGAGCAGGTGTTTTACCAAATACTGGGGCAGTGTAACTATGATGGGGACATAAAATGAAAATGAAACATGATTTTATTTACGAATAACAATCAGATATGTGGCATTCATTTGTTTTCAGCATAAGTTAGTCAGAACTACCCGTTGCTCCTCTCTACTAGCTTTAAACATCTAGAGATGGACATGTTCGTCCTTTCCTTTTTTTTTTTTTTTTTTTTGCTTTTTTTTTTTTACATTTGTAAAAACCACTTAAGCTCTCCCCTGAATTGGACGGGGCTGTTTTAATACATTGATACGTTTTGATGCAAACCTCTCCATTGTAGCTGTGGCTTAGAGTTGCCATCTTCCTGGAAGGTGAACACTGACATATTCAGGTTTCCTGCAGCCTCCAAGAAGTTTCCTGTCAGTACTGTCCTGGGTGTAGCTCCATTCATCTCTCCATCACCTCCATTATCTCCCCAGATGGATTTACTGCCAATAAATAACTCATGGTTGCTCACAGAATGTTGGATGTTTTGTCACAAGGGCCAGAATCATCAAGACAAAAGTATAATGGACCAAAAAATGACATTTTTAAAAGCTAACACAACAAAATATGTCTATTTTGTTACACCTGCTCAACAACAAATGACATGTAGTTAAACTTTTTGTAGATGAACAATGTGCAGATTAATATTGAGCTTAAACTTGCAAAGGAGTTTTGCCTGTTTTGTAGGGCTGAATCGGATTAGTCATAATGAATCTATAATTGAAATGATCATCAACAACTTAGTCATTGATTCACTGGAGAATAAAGACTCTAAAACATGTAATTTTCTGAACAAACAACCTACAATTGTATATATTTTGTACAATTTGAGCCAAACTGTACAAACTAAATACATTAAAATGAAAAACCTCTATAAATGTTCAACTCCCCAAGCGGCAGTTTTTCTCCTATCAAGCATCTTTTGCTATCTAATTATTAATCGGTTACTTTAAAAAAAAATAATCACCAGTTCATCTATACACTGTGTTGATGTTAAGTCAAGCAGAAATGACTGAGTTGTTCACATGTAGATGTTAGAAGTATTTTTTTAGCTGCAGATGTATCCTTCACTACAAATGATCAAGCATTCACTTAAGGTTGCTAGCGCTAAGAATTGCTAATTGATATTGCATTTTAGGTTAGAAAATGTGTTTTCTCTTTTTTTTATTGAATGATGTATTTGCATTTTCTTCTGTATTACTGTTATTGTATACAATAAGCTTTAGCAGGTTAACTGAAAAATATGCAGAATGTACCTTTTTTTATCCATTACTTGGAAAGTCCCACAAGAAAAAACAACTATATATGAGACAAAACTTAAGACCTATGATCAATATATTTAAGGTCAACTCACATTGATTAATCGGTAGCTGCAGGTAATGTTTTGCCATGATGTTTTGGGAAAAAAAAACATAGGAAACTTTGTCAAGTTTAATAAATCCATTAGATGTGTTAAAATCTGCTTTAGAGTAAAAGTCACTGGAAAAATCTGGACAGATTTGAATTAAAGAATGCTAAAGTGCTGGTTAATAAAGTTGACTAATTAGTGTTGTGCCTAACTTGTTTTGTCTCATAAATTCATTGTAATTTAATAACTACCATTTCTGTCAACCATCATCGCTGGTTGGGCCATTATTGAATTGCAGTTGGGGGCCATAGAAAAATAAGTCCAGGGATTCCAAATAGCCCTCATACCACACTTTGGACACTCCACATAGTTCATGCACCACTATGTGGAGGTCAATTATAAATTCTGACAAAATAAATTTAAGTTTATGGATACAACAGAACAAAATGTTGCACAGATGAATACTAGGTATTTATTCTAGAGTCAGTCTTGTGTTTGCTGCTCTTCTCAGTAAATATGTGGTGTGAACTTCATCTTTAGTCTACTTCTTGATTCCTCTATTTTTTTTTACTTGGTGTGGTCAAAACTGAAATGTTTGTTCCCTTAATAAAGCAGAAAGCAGCAAAGTGTCGTGTTTCAATAACCAGAGATCCAGCTCACTTTTTCTTCACATTTATTGTTGCTTTTAGTGTGCTCACAGAAAATTAGAACACCTTAAGCAGGAGGGTTTTAATAGCAACTGTTTCGTAGACAAAAGTTACATTCCATCTCTAAGTCAAATCGAAGCTTCTCCAGTATTTACAAAAGAGAGAGAGAAAAAAGGAAGTAGATAAGAAAGACGAGATGCTACACAAACATTGCATCTGATAAGGTTGAAAAATTGAAGTGGAAAGGTGACCAGAAAAAGAACTGTCTGCTGCAGGAGAACATACCACAGTATAGAAACGGTTACCACTCATCACAGCTTGGTTTTCAGTTCACAACTGCTTGAAAAGAGATCAGAGTGTGTAAGTGTGTGTGTGTGTGTGTGTGTGTGTAGGTATCTTACAAAAATGAGGAGGTGGAAAACAAGAGAGCTGCAAACCTTTATGTGCTTTTTGAGATCAAGATTTCTTTTGTACAATAATCACAGTTAAAAACACCCTGCCTATACATACTTACATGGGTTTCTTTTATACCAACAATTAACAATAAAGCCTATACAACTCATATCCCTACTGAATCTGACTGGTACAGCTAATGAGGAGTGGACAGCTTCCTATGGGTTTATATCAGGCCCTAACTACCTCTGGGGTCGGGAATCTGGTAGAAAACAAAGTCTTAGTGTTCCAAACCGAGCGCAGTTTCTAAAGGTTGCCCTCGGTTTTCTTTCTTAAAAGCTACTCATTGTATAATAGTCAGTGGCACATATTCCCAGGCCCCCAGCCCCACGCTTTGTTTACAACTCCACTCCCACATCTCCATCACACCCTGGATGAGTCCATTACTATTTTTGTTTACATTTTGTATAAAAATAAGAAGAAATAAACCAAATAAAAAGGTAATACTGATGTAAAAATATATGGCAGAGCGTGGATCAGCTGGGCTGAAGCCACCCACCTCCGAGGTTGTATCAGACTGAGATGGGTTTTGTATGGGGGGGGGGGGATAGTGGGAACCAAAAATGAAATCTTAAGAAAGCTTTAAAATCTCCCTGGTTGCAGTTCTCCACAGCCAGCAGGTGGCGTCGCTCGGACAGGGAATGTTCTTTGATTATCTTGGTTTGGGATTTTCTTCTGTCGTTACTCTGAAGCCTCGGGGGCAGCGGCCGGGGTCTCTGCTGACGCCGCCTCCTGTGTGGCCTCCTCCTCTGCCGCTGCAGGGGCCTCGGCCGCTTTCTCCTCTGCCTTGGGCTCCTCCGGGGCTGCAGCCTCCTCGGTGGGTTTCTCCGGTTCTGTCGCCGCCGCCGCCGTCGCCTCCTCCTCGGGCTTCTTCTCTACGTCCTCCTTGACCTGCTCTTCAGCTGGGGTCGCCTCTCCCTCCACGGGCTTGGCTTCCTCGGGGGCGGCCGCCGTCTCCTCCTTGCCCTCAGGCCCGGCCTCCTTGGCAGGTGCTGCCGACTCGGCTGCTGCCTCCTGGGTCTCAGCCCCGTCGCCGGTCTCCTTTTTGGTCTTCTTGAAGGAAAAGCCGCTGAGTTTAAAAGACTTCTTGAAGGAGAACTTCTTCTTCTTCTTCTTGGGGGTCTCGTTGCTGGTGGAAGGTGTCGCTCCATCCTCCGGCTTAGCTGCGGCTTCTTCGTCGGCGGGCGCCGGAGACGCTGCTTCTACTTTCTCCTCGCCTCCGGCGTCCTTCTCGGCCGGGGCGGCCTCGGCCTTCTCCCCGTCCTCTTTGGGGCTCTCCTCGGCCGCCGCGCTGCCGTTCACCTGTACCTCCTCCTTGCCGTTCTCAGCCGCAGCGGGAGAGGCATCTCCGTTTGCTTTCACGTGCCCGTTTTCCTGTGAAGGAGGAACAGATAGAGGGGGGGTCAGCGGCTCGGTGGCGGACAGTGCCACCAGAGGACACTAGGGGGCAGCAAATTCCACCAGATCAGCACAAACAAAAGCCACTCGAACACACATTTGTTCTGCTTTTAGGAGCAGGTCGCTACTTATGTGGAAATGAGACCAAAAAGGCAGCACATTTCCTCTTTTTCCGCTCAGATTGAGGCGTCCAGTAAAGCAGTAGATCCTCATTAACCCAGCAGATCACTGGAAGAAGCGCCCGCAGGAAATGTCCATACGGGTGGCCAGTAAACATTTCAGATGGTTAGTGAAAGCTTCAGAGGGGCACAGCCAAATATAATAATAATAATAATAATAATAATAATAATAATAATGCCTGATAATGTATTAATCACCAACAGTAAACAAATAGAACGTGGAAGGCTCGGGAGCGCCTGCAGCACCCTCCGCCTCCTTTGCGAGGCGCTCGACCCCCGCCTTCCCACCCCTCCTCCGGGGTGACAACAGGCTGCCATCTCCGCTTTCCAGCCGAGCATCTGCAACAAAAGGCGTGGTGCTCCGAGCGCGCACTGCTTTTGTTGGCTCTCCCTGCATCTGAGCCGACTTCCACTGACTAACATCTTCATTCTCCATGAAATCAGCTCCAGAATCAACCCTCCGCCCCCAGCAGCAGAAACGACCAGTTCATGTTTAATTCACATCTTTTCATTCACTTTCCAACAGGATCCATAAGGGGCTGCCTTTAAACCATAATTTTTTGGTTAGAATTAGAGCTATTTTAATCTGACTCAGACACATCTGAACACTGATTATATCAAACTGTTGCACGCAAAGCGCAATCTCTCCAAAAAAGTGGCCTTTTCTATCAGTTTCTCCACATTTACGCACAGATTGCGCATCCATCCCCCTCCCTCCGCACCCAGCAGTTTCTACCCAGACGCCTGTTAAAACCTCGTTTACCTGTCCGTTGGTCTTGTTGGGTGAAGCAGCAGCCTCCCCGGCCTTTTCAGCCACAGTTTCAGCGTTTCCAGGCGCTTTAGACAGTTGCGCTCCCATGTTTTATCCTCCAACAAAGAAACCCAAATCGATCCAGAAAAAAAGAAAGATAACCCCGAACAAAGACCCACAGGCTTCTTTGTTCAAATGCTCTCGGTCCCCCTCTGTCTTTCTGTCCGTCCCTTTCTTTGCAGAGGGGAAAAAAAAAAAGTTTCGAGGAAAAATGATGAGCAGAGTCCAGAGAGAGTGGAGAGGGTTTTCAGTGCAGCAGGGGAAAGCTGGCTGAGGGAGGCGAAGCAATAAAATCCTAGATTGGTGGCCGTCTCGCTGTAGACGGTCTGCAAAATGGAGAAATGTCCCTTGTTGTTAATAAGATGCACAGCCCAACGCCCAATTGCAGAGATGAATGGGCGCCCCGAGCGATGACGGCACCGTGCTCTGAGTCAGCCAATCACAGCGCCCATGTAAATGACGGGGCGGGGTTTGTGAGAAAGGCGTGAACAAAAGGTCTCCGCTTTGCTCCAACCCATTTGTTTCTACTGTAAACATATTTCTTTTCTAAACCATATAAAAGGCAATAGTAATAATAATAATAATAATAATAATAATAATAATAATAATAATAATAATAATAATAATAATAATAATAATAAAACAATGAAAGGTTTAAAGTTGTTAGGTATCTAATCACATGAAATAAACTGAAGTTGACCAGTCCGAAGCAGAAAAACACTTTTATGCACTAATGTATCACACACAGGCTGAAATAATATCTAAAAACTCCATATTTCAAAACATCAGAGTCTCAAACTTGCATTTAAAACCGTTTCATTAAAATGATGACAACTAGGATGACTGGTCACATGGGCGGTTTTAGGCAGAGGCCAACGGGGGCCAGTACCCTCTCAGATTTGGTCCTGGCGATGCCCCCTACCTAAGAGGAAATAATACATACTTTTTGTCATGATAAGCATTAACACAGAAACTGTATCTAAGAGTTCCTGCAATTAAACTTAATTTTTTTACTTTTGGAGTTTTCTTTAACAATGTGGTGTTGAATTTATAGCCTGAGTCATACTGACATAGAATCAGAGATTTAGACAACTTTTTAAAATAATTTTTGCATCTAGTGGCCTTTAGAGAACAGTAAGTCGACGCAGAACTACTGCATTGAGGACAACAGGCTGCGCAAAATTACAACATTCACTATATTTTCAGTTAGTGAAGGTTTGCTTACACACTGCACTGTGATGAACCAACCAAACTCTTTGAAAAACCTGTGTACCCCCTCAGCTGTGGTGGCGCTGCACCAAGAATCACGAAAACAACACAAAACCTCTGAAGAAGACACTGAGAGCAACTTCCTTCTTCAAGATGTAAGGAAAAATGGAGTGGTATCAGATTTTAGCGATTAAAGGATTTATTTTTGTCTTTGGTAAGAGACCACAAGCCGTTTATTGTGCTAGCACTAAACTTGCACATTTGCTTTGGTTGTATTTTCCCAGAATGCCCTGCGTTGTAACCAGCTTCCTGTATTTGGAGTGGTCTCTGTTTCACTTGGCATTCATAAAATGCCAAGTGCATTGGAACAGCACCACAGTTCGCTTCAACCGAACCCAATTAAGTTCGTAGGTGGACCAGAGATTGCTTTTTTGGTTCGGATCAGAGTTGGATTCACCCTTCCCCAGATGAACCAAACTTTCTTGGCAAACAAACTTGAGCTCAATTAAAATGGACTGAACAAGGCTGATGTGAAAGCACCCTTAATATATTAAGGAATTAAATATTGCTTTCCCTTTTATTTCATTCTTTTGTTCTGTGTGTCCCAATAAAATTTCCTTGTCCCCTCTAAACCTAGTCTAGAACCACCATTGACTGATTACTACATCTCTATAAGGTGTTTTTTGTTAGCTGGTTGGACGAGAAAGCGGCCATTTGGATTCTCAGGGATTTTTGTGTGAAATTTGGTTCTTTCCGGGAACTTCAGCTTCCTCCCACAGTCCAAAAACATAACTAGATTAGTTAGTCTCTCTAAATTGCCTTTAAATGTGAGTGTGTGTGGGTTTAAGGCTATTTGACCTGTCTGTCTCTGTGTTGTCCCGTCAAGAACTGACGACCTTTCCAAGGTGCACCTTTTCCTTCATTTTTTGCCTAGTGGCCACTGGAGATAAACACCATGGCCCACGGGTAACCGGGTGTAGAAGATGAATGACAAAACATGCATGTGTGGTTGGAAGTGTTGGCTGTAATCTTAAAATAAATCTGCAGGAACTGAGACACAAGCTTTGACCTGAGTTGTATTGTGTTCAACAGGATCTTGTTGTAATGCTCTCATTTTCCCCTCTGTGCAACACTCAGGTCCGGTTAGCAGTTCCTGGACCTGACCAAAACCCCTCAGACTCATAACTTTAAGAAATAATGAGATTTGCTTAAGTATAAAACAGGCTTTAACGCCAAAAATGATCAAATGTTACAAGTCATACATGGAACAGATGCAGAGTGACATCCAGTGTCCAGCGCTGGGCTTCACTCAGCTCACCTTAAGGGTCACACCAAGTGAAGCAAAGATTGTAGAGAGAGTTCTGCTTACATCTCCTCCTCATTCTGCAGCCTCTCTTCAGGGTGTTGGCCTGCTTCATCAGTTTTTGTTTACTGTGACTGTCGCCAGGCTGATATGTTATGGTTATGTGAGAGTGCAGCAGTGTGCATGTGAGCAGATGAAAGAGACAGAAGAAAGACACACAATCGTATATCCATAGCAACATGAAATCCAAGTCCTTGCACAATTAGTCTTTGATCAGACCCAGTTGCACTTAATGAATATCAAGTCTTTGGGCAGTATACACATGTAAGGAACATGATAAAGATTCACCGTCACTATGTGTTTTCTATAAAGTAGCAAAGCAAGAAGAAATTCAGAAGACTCAAATAAGATGTTCAAGGTTACAAGTCTTGTGACAAAATTTTCTTCACTTACAAACAAAAAAGTTGCTTGCCATGGGAAGCACCCAGGAGGAATAGTTTGGATTTAATAACCTACATACACTCACCAGTAATGAGTATTCAAGGGACACCACAAGTTGTGGCACTATGAGTTGGGGATGTTTGTTGAGCTTTCAGTGATCCAGAGTTTGTATTGTTTGGGCAGTTATGGATGTTTATCTGAACTCTGGATTGAAGAAGGTCCTCCATGAAAACCCAGGGGTCTGTTTGCTTGTGAACGGCGCTGTAGCTGACTTACAGTGGGAAATGAAAAAGGACCAAAGTGAGGAAATGAACCAAAAGGAGAGAGTGATGTATCTGCCTGCCTACAGTCATGTATTTGTGATCTGAAACCTTTTAAATCTTGACACTAGCACTCTGGGCTTCTATGTAACCACGGGAACATGTCCTAGTGTCTCGCTTTGTGCCTGTGGAATGGCTGCATTCATCATATGCAGACAGAACAACAGGCTGAATATGTCATTAGTTTGCTTGATGCTCTTACTTGGCAGCTTTTAGCTAGTTTGATCCTGTTTGACTCATGAAGTGTAAAAGCGAACTAAACAATTTATTGGCATTCCTCATCAGACCAAAGCTCCTGCATTATCCTGGTGTGAAAACTCCCTTAGACTTACTTACTGTACCTGTAGAGTACAGTTTGATCTGGCTCAGATTTTAGGGATTTTCTCCTGGTTATTTGGTTTAGTGTGGGGTCATGTTAAATGCTACATAAATTGTACTTAAATGAGCTTTATGAAATCCAAAGTGCCCCAAAGGGCTTCACACACTACATTCAATCACTCACCCATTCATGCACACATTCATGCACAAGCCACTGGATCGTAGCCAAAACTGCCCTGTCTGAGAGAAGAGAGGTTATCACGCACTGGCGCCACTGGGCCCTTTGACCCCCAGCAGGCAAGATGGGTGAAGTGTGTTTCCTAAGGACACATGGACGGAGACGGACAGAAGGTCTCCATCACTGGTCACATGAGCACCATCACCATAATCACCATCACCGCCATCTTGTTAATGTCTTGTGAGGGAACATGTGTGTAGGTTCCTCATACACACGTTAGTTCCTTTATAGGCCCATGGTGACATTTGTAAGCAACCCACATGCTGGGTGAAGGCAGCATTATTTCTCAGCCACCAATATGTATGTGGCTGAGGTGTTATCTCTAAAGTGTCACATGTTCTCTTCTGCATTTCTTGCAACATTTAGCCTGTTGCCAGTTTCACCCGTATGTTATGCCTACAACAGAAAGCCAAGATGGAGACTCGAAACAGGAGGTTCCAGACTTTTAGAGATGATTATCTACTTTGACTTGATGCAGGAAGTTGACCAATATACCAGCCTCTGTATGTGTGTGTGTGTGTGTGTGTGTGTGCTAGTGTGAAAGAGTCAGAAGGAGGGGATCGGATTCCTCATGTCGTCTTGTTGATGACCGTGAGATGTGCTCCATGGGGATGTTGTGAGTTTTCCTCTGCCCCTCCATTTGCAATGCAAATCTGCCAGAGGTTTTCATCCAGACCGGGTGTCAGCGCTAACAAAACCAGTTCTGGGCCCGTTCAGGTGGGCTTCCTGGAATAGATTCAGATTCCTGCTTTTAAATGTTATCAAGTGGAATGCAAAACAGTACAGGCCACTTTCACTCAGAGCATTCAGCCAACCATTAGAGGATCCAGGAGGAAGGGTAGTTTCTGTTTCTGCACCAGTTAGGAACTAACGGGTGCATACAGTGTTACTATGACAATTATTAGCAACAGTTGTTAATTTTACAAAAATAAAACCCAAAACATGCTCTAATCAGAAATTTATATTTCTATCCTGCTCTGAAAATAGTTGGGCAATATTTTTGCATGATTGGCCAAAAATTTAATCTGCTGGTCACATTCACCAAATTTTGATTTCATCTGTCCATTCATTATCTAACACGATTGTCCTTGCAGGGTCGCTGGTCTCCAGCAGTCAGACAGGCGGGGTCACCCTGGACAGGTCACCAGTCCATCACAGAGACAGAGAGAACAAACAATCATGCACACATAGTTATACCTAAGATGAATTTAGAGATCTCACTGAACCTGACAGTCACATTTTCCT